GGGTACCGCGAAGATGTATCAGGACTTGAGGCAGCACTATTAGTGGAGGAGAATGAAGAATGATGTAGTAGGGTTTGTAGCTCGGTGCCTTAACTGTCAGCAGGTGAAGTATGAGCATAAGAGACCTAGTGGATTGCTTCAGAGGTTAGAGATTCCAGAGTTGAAATAAAACCATGTATTTTGAAGTTGGACTCCCACAGTCTTCGAGGAAGTTCGATGCTATTGGAGTGATTGTGGATTGGCTGACCAAGACCGCGCACTTCATTCTAGTTGGTACTACCTATTATTAGGAGCGGTTGGCTAAATCCGAGAGATTTTTCGCCTTCACGGTGTGCCAGTTTCCATCATTTCAGATAGAGGCACGCAGTTTACATCACAGTTTTGGAGAGCTGTGCAGCGAGAGTTGGGCACCCAAGTTGAGTTGAGCAAAACATTTCACCCTCATACGGATGGACAGTCCGAGCTGATTATTCAGATATTGGAGGACATGCTACTTGCTTGTGTTATTGATTTCAGGGGTTCTTGGGATCGGTTTCTGCCACTCGCGGAGTTTGCTTACAACAACAGTTATCAGTCGAGCATCCAGATGGCCCAGTATGAGGCTTTGTATGGTAGGCGGTGTAGATCTCCGGTGGGTTGGTTTGAGACTAGTGAGGATAGACTTTTACGTACACACTTGTTTCAGGATGCATTGGACAAGGTTAAATTGATTCAAGAGCGGCTTCACACGGCACAGTCCCGACAGAAGAGCTATGCTGACAGGAAGGTTTGTGATGCGTCTTACATGGTTGGGGAGAAGGTTCTGCTAAAGGTTTCACCCATGAAGGGTGTTGTGAGATTCGGGTAGAAGGGAAAGTTGAGCCCTCAGTTCATTGGGCCTTTTGAGGTACTTTAGAGGATTGGGGAAGTGGCTTACAAGCTTTCCATGCCACCTAGCTTGTCGAGTGTACATCTAGTATTTCATGTTTCTATGCTTTAGAAGTATATCGGCGATCCGTCTCATGTTTTGGATTTCAGTACGGTTTAGTTGGATGGTTATTTAGCTTAGGATGTGGAGCCGGTGTCCATTTTGGATCGGCAAGTTCAGAAGTTGAGTTCAAAGGATATAGCTTCAGTGAAGGTGCAGTGGAGAGGTCATCCCGTGGAGGAGGCTACTTGGGAGACCGAGCGGGAGATGCGGAGCAGTTATCCAAACATATTTGAGACCCTAGCTATGTTTCTAGACACGTTCGAGGGCGAACGTTTGTTTAAGAGAGGGAGGATGTAATGACCTGGCCGGTCATTTTGAGAAGTTGTAGCCTTGTTCCCCCAATTACTACTACATTTATACTTTATAGCTGTTATATGACTTGCCGGGTTGGTTGGTTCGAGTCCGTAGTGAATTCAGTGTGAAATGAGACACTTAGTCTCTTAAATGGAAAAGCTTAAGTTGGAAAAATCGACAGGATGTCGATCTATGTGTAAACGACCCCGGATTAGAATTATGATGATTCCAGTAGCTCCGTATGGTGAATTTATACTTAGGAATGTGTTCGGAAAATTANTTTTTGATATCGGGTCCGGATTCCGATTCTGGAAGTTGCAGTAGGTTCGTGGGGTCATTTATGACTTGTGTGCAATATTTGTGGTCAATTGGACGAGATTTGATAGGTTTCGACATCGTTTGTAGAATTTGGAAAATTTTGAAGTTTCTTAGGCTTGAATCCATGTGCAATTCGTCTTTTCGATGTTGTTGGAGGTGATTTGAAGATTCGACTAAATTCAAATAATGTTATAAGACTTGTTGGTATGTTTGGTTGGGATCCCGGGGGCCTCGGGTTGATTTTGGGTGGTTCACGGACTTGGAATTTGATTTGAGAAGTTGCTGAAGTCTGAGAGCTGTTGGTGTGACCACACTTGTGGGGAGTGGACCGCAGATGCGATGCCGCAGGTGCGAAAAGGGTGGAGACCAGATGGTTTCTCCGCACCTGCGATAGCGCAGATGCGGACCATTGGTCGCAGGAGCGGAGGCAGCCAAAGTTAGTCATTTTCGCAGGTGCGCCCAGATTTTTGGATTAATGGGCGCGCAAGTGCGGAAATGCCTGTGCAGAACCTATATCAGCGGGGTCTGAGATTTTTGGCTTCATTTCACATATTTGAGCTTGGATTTTGGAGGTTTGGAGAGGGTTTTTCAAGGGGATTCTTGAGGTAAGTTCCTTGTCTTCATTTTTCTTCAATAATTATGTTTCCCCACTAATTTCCTACCTAGATGGTGTATTTTTAAGGTGTAAATTGGGGATTTGAGGCTAGGGATTTGGAGAGTTAGTTTTGAGGATTTGAATGACCAATTGGTGTCGGATTATGATGAATTTGGTATGGTTAGGCTCGTGAGTGAATGAGACTTGGGATTTTGTGACTTTTGTCAGATTTTTATACATCGGCCCGGGGGTCGGGTTTGGGCCGATTTCGGATTTTGGCTATACTTTCGTATTTTTCTTGTGGAATTAATTCCTTTAGCCTATATTGATTGTGTTGTACTGCTTGTGGATATATTCGAGACGTTTGGAGATGGATTTGAGAGCCAAGGGCATTTTGGAGTACAATTTAGCCCGTATTAAGGTAAGTAACACTTTCAAACTTGGTTCTCAAGGTTCGAAACCCCGAATTATGTGTTATGTGATTGGTATTGAGGTGATGCACATGCCAAGTGATGGTAGTGCAGGCGTACACTGTGAGAATTATGACCTGGTTGACTCCATGGAGCCGTATAGTGCTTCTATCTTGTTGATATCCATGTATCCATCATGTGATAAAGTAATTGAGATGTCACTCATGCTAGATATCATGTTTAGGCTTTATGCATGTACTGTTTGGACCCATAATGGTCGTTTCTTGTTGTTATCTTACTGATTTCATTTATATTTCATATTCAGTCATATTCATTCATTTCATATCTTATCGCAATCTCTGTTGCTATTTATTGATACATCATATCATTGTTTTCTGGCTAGTATTATGACATTGTGAGCCCGTGAGAGAGAGACTGAAGAGATTGTTGACTGAGTGAGGCTGAGTGCCTGATTTTGAGTGATATATATGGGATCGGGCTGCACGCCGCAGTGGTTATACCGATTTATGATAGCGCTTGGGCTGAAGGAGCCCTTCCGGAGTCTACACACACCCCCAATAAGCGCGGTTGATATTATATGGAGATGGATCTTCTCCACAGGGTTAGATTGGCCTTCTTCGATACTGGGTGACTTATAGTCAGTGATGTATATGTTATGGGATGGATCTTCCCTGGGTCGTATGGGCCATATACATTATCGAGTGATTGATTATTTGAGAGTGTGAACCTGGAGATGGATCTTCTCCACAGGGATGGATTGGCCTTCCTCGGTACTGGGTGACTTATAGTCAGTGATGTATATGTTCTGGGATGGATCTTCCCTGGGCCGTATGGGCAATATATAGTATCGAGTGGTTGATTATTTGATATTGTGAACCTGGAGATGGATCTTCTCCACAAGGCTGGATTGGTCTTCCTCGGTATTGGGTGACTTATAGCCAGTGATGTATATGTTCCAGGATGGATCTTCCCTGGGCCGTATGGGCCATATACAGTACCGAGTGGTTGAGTATTCGAGAGTGTAAGCACATGAGGCTACCAGCATGGTGCATCACATACAACATTGCATTGGCATGGTAGAGGTTGAGGAGTTATAGTTTTCATATCATTCAAATTGATCCATTTTACTGTTTTAAGATATCTATCGAACTTGAAAGCATGTCTACATTTCTGCACTATTATTTCTTTATTGAATTGTGCCTGTTGAGTTTGTCACTACTTTCAGCCCACATTTTGAAATTGTTACTTACTGAGTTGGTTATACTCACGCTACACCCTGCACCTCGTGTGCAAATCCAGGTACTTCTGGTTACGACAACTGCTGATTGAGGAGATAGGATCTCAGAGACTATCGAGGTAGCTGCATGACATTCGCAGACCTTGACTCTAATTTATTATCTTTTTCTGTACTTCAGTTCTTACTCCTTCGACATAGTAGTAGACTGTATTCTGACATAGATGCTCATGTACTTGGTGACACCCCGACTTTGGGATAGATTGTATTGTGTTGCAGGTTTATTTCGGTTTTAAAAAGGGTTTTCTTAAATATAAAATTGCTTCTACCTATATTTTAAAGCTTTTACTATGTTGATATAGTTGAGTAGTGGCTTGCCTAGTTATACGATAGGCTCCATCACGACGGTTGGTTTTTTAGTCATGACAGGGGCCCTCTAGTAGATGACCTTCGGGTGTATTTATATGAGTTACTGCTTATTTACATTTCTGTATTCTAATATTATTATTCGTACAAGTTTATTGTGAGTGTCTTGTCATAGCCTCGTTACTATTTCGTTGAGATTAGGCTCGGCACATACAAAGTACATGGGGTGGTCGGTTGTACTCATGCTATACTTCTACACTTCTTGTGTCGATACCAGTGTTAGTCCCAGTGGCGTGTAGAGGAGTTCTTGCCCGGATTGCCTTACCGCAGGAGACTTGAGGTAGAGCTTATGGCGTTCGCAACCCGTGAAGCACCCTTTCTACTATATCTTTATTGTTTATCTTATTTCAAATAGTTGTATTTCGTTTATACCATACTTTATAGTATTCTAGCTGCTCATGCACTGGTGACATCATATTTTTGGGATTAGACTAGACCATATTATGATATGGATTTATCTTATATAATTAAGTTTTGTTAATCATTAATTAATACTGTTATGCTATTTTAAATTCTAAAAATGGATAGTTAATGATCTAATGTCGGCTTGTCTAGTAAGTAGATGTTAAGCGCCATTACGACCCCGAGGTTGAAATTCCGGGTCGTAATACAATTCCTTGTGATTTTAGATCGTGACAATACTACATATATAAACCCCCAAAGAGGTAGACTAAATCATATGCTAGAATGGTAGTCGAAAACACGTGACATTATGGTGGAGACAGCTAGAAATTCCTTTAACATAGCCGGACTTGAAAATTTCATAATATCTTACATATACTGATCACCAAAAATACATCCAAAGAAGGAGACTAGCGTACATCACACACCATTATTTATTTCACATGCACAAATACAAACACACACAGTATATAGATAACGACATAGATCTTTTATTTCTTGAGAGGGTGGGCATCTATATCTTTGGTCAAATCAAGGACTACACCCATGAAGGGGAGGGGCTTAGGGGTGTCTTCAGTTTTTTTCTCGTACACAAATGTCCATGTAGTCCACTGAGCTTCACTGGATGTGATAATAGTAAAGTAATTATACAACTCTAACAAATCTCCTCCAATCACTTTCACAGTAACTGATATTTTCTGATGATCGAAGGCTTCAATCACTTCCTTAACAATCTTTTCTTTCTCATCTATAATCATTAAAATTCAAACAATACAAGAGATGTTACACCTAGTTCAATAGTCCAACTCCTCATAAAAGATATAAACATTCATGAAAAAACTATAGATTTGATTATACTGTGTTTGTTATGACTGAAGAAATGTTTCATGAAAAACATTTTGTTCATCAAAATATTTTCTGATATTTGATTGGTAAGTGAAAGATATATTACATAAAGCATGCATTAAAGACTGATAATAATAATATTAAAAATTTATAGATTGTTTAATTTGATAAAAGTTTTGAGTGCTAAAAACTAATAATAACATCTAAAGGTTAATTGGAGCAAGTAGAAGAAAGTTAAAAGTTAAGATAGTTGTAATATTTTTCCCTAGAGGAAATGACTTCCGCCTAAAGAAGCTATCTTTTTATGCAAAATGTCTTACTCGGGATATATTTATGGTAACCAAACATCATCAATATCAAATTTACCTAAATATAGAATATTGATGCATATAAAGAGAACGGGGAAATGTGTGTTACCCTCATTGTATTTCCAGCTAATGATCGAACCAACCTTTATGATTTGACCTTCATGAATCTCAAAATGGTTGATCTTACTAGGGCTTATACCGGGTATATGATGAGTATTAACGTGAAAAATATCCCGAACAGAGTGTCCTTCACTCTTCACCTCTAATGAAGCAATCAACTTGCCCTTCACACCCATATTTTCTTCTCCTCAAAATAGCAATAAGTTGTGAAAAGAAAGTGGGGAGAAAATGTTCAGAACTTGTAGTCTTTATATTGATTTTAGTTAGCTGTGAAAAACTAGCTAGTAAAAACCTTTATCCACCACATATCAATATCATGTATGTGTAAAGTAATATCTTTATCAGATAAGTGATCCAGTTTTAGTTACGTGTGTTGCATGTATTTTTTTATTATAATAAATTCAGTGTAATCCCACAAAGTGAGGTCTGGGAGAGTAAGGTGTACGCACATCTTAGCCCTACCTTGTAAAGGTAGAGTGAGTATTAATGATATACCCTCGGCTCAAGGGAAAAATAAAAAATAAGTAGATACAACAAATGGTAACAACAACAAGATAAGGTGATAAGTATTGCATGTGTTTTCTATCAGTAAAAATGTATAGAAGAAAAATAAATTATTGTAAAATAGCAATCAATCTTAAAATAAATGCAATATTTATTTAAATGATGAAAATGAATTCTTGAATTGCTCAGTGAGCTTTTCAAGATAAGCATGGTATGTCAAAAGTTTTTCATATTTTGTTTAATGTTATTATATTGATACAATAGCTGAATTTAATATCTTCCGAACATAAAAAGATGATGTTTGGTTAAGTGTTTGTATTGTAGATATTTTATTATATGAGATACAAATATTCTAATTGTCATATTTCACCTAATATTTCTTTATAAACAATATTCTTGGTATATATTTTCTATCCGTCGCTTTGGTGCTCTCTAATAATTAAAAGTTATTGGAAACATTAATATCTATCTTGAAAGTGTGAAATCTTGTTATGCACTATATCTTGTGCTAAGTTAATTAAGGATTCTTAGGACAGTTTTACAATAATAATGTAACTTTTTCGAAATTACAGAAATATAACAATTATGTTGTTATATGCAATGTATATTTTGCTAACCTAATCAACGGATTTTTTAAACAGTTTGTTATATGCAATGTATCTTTACAGAAATATAATAAATGTTGAAGGAAAGAGCGGTTTTATGTATATCTTATTGGAATAAATATAAAACACCCTATATATTTCACATTTAATTATATACATAAAAAGAATTTTGGTCTTATATACATAGCGTAATTTCCCGACCACGACGAGATGGTGTAATTATCAACTTTGAGGAATTATAAGGAAATCCTATCTCGCGAATACTGAAAAGAGTCTAAACTTGATAAATGGTCAATTCAATACATAAAAGCAGAGGCATGCAACCCCTGGATTTAAACTCGTAACTTTTAGGATAGTCACATTAGATGTTAGTAATTGAGTTATGAACTTAATTTTATACGTATTAAAGTAATTTCTTAATACAAATATCGAATTTAGATTAAAGCTACTAAGTTTGACCAATAACCTTCTAGTTTGGCCCTACATATGCGTCACCTAAAAATAAGAAACCTAGAAAGAAAGCCAAGTCTCCAGTTTTCTTGATTGTTTATAGCAGAGCATATATTAAAAATATTATAATTAACCTAAATGACAAAGCTTAAACTGTCACGACCCAAAATCCAACTAGTCGTGATGGCACCTAACCCAACCCGCTAGGTAAGTCAATTACCAACTATCCAATACCAATGAAATTAATAAGGCAATTAATTAAAAAAAAATATATAAAACTAATACATTTTCCCAAGAACTGGTAGTACAAATCATGAGTTTCTAAGAATAGAGTATACAAAGCTGATATGAAATAAATACATCATATGTTCGAAATGTACCTAAACAAATTCTTATAAATCTAAGGCTACCATGAACAAGAGGCAGCTACAACCAGAACGCAGGTACGTCTTCAATTCCAGCTCCCGTCGAGTACAACAACATCAACATCCAATATCTGCACGCAAGGTGCATAAGAGTAGTATGAGTACCACCGACCCCATGTACTCAATAAGTAACAAACCTAACCTTAGGTTGAAAGTAGTGACGAGTTTGTACCAAGGTTAGGTCCAAAACTAATAGTCCGCAATGGTCCATATCAACCCAAAGCAAGCAATACAAGAAGCAACTCAAAGATAAAATGCTCAGCTGAATCAAGATTTCTAAAAGTAGTTATTCCTTTCAAGTAAATCAGTGAAAACCCAAATCGTTTACCGAAGTTGCCAAAACTATGAGTAAGTTTGAAAACAGTAATTAAGATGCCTCTTTTGCTTTCCAGATTACCATTGTAAAATAAATGCATCACTCTGCCCATATGTCAACACGTGTGAGAAATCATGAATAATGTGATACCGTACAACATGAGGAAAATATATCTCTATGCATGCATGTCATGTGTGCATGTCAGTGCAATGTTGTATACGGTGTACCATGCTGACAGCCTCATGTGCTCACACTCTCGAATACTCAACCACTCAGTATTGTATATGGACCATACGGCCCAGGGAAGATCCATCCCGTAACATATACATCACTGACTATAAGTCACCAGTACCGAGGAAGGACAATCCAACCCTGTGGAGAAGATCCATCTCCATATAATATCAATCGCGCTCACTGGGGGTGTGTGCAGACTCCAGAGGGGCTCCTTCAGCCCAAGTGCTATCATAAATCAGTATTAATATCAGAATCAATCACGCCCTCAGCCTTACTCAGTCATCAATTTTTCCAGTCTCTGTCATGACGCAATTTTTCCTCCGTTGGGTATCGTGATGCCACCTAGTCTTAGGGACTCGGTCTAACATTTACTGAATAACAACAATAATTATATAACATCTAACAATTTTTGAAATAGAAATCTCTATAAAATTTATAATTCACAAAATCGGTAGTACAAGTCATAAGCTCTACAGAGTTTACTACAATTTACTAAATACAACTATTTGAAATAAAGTAAACAGTGTGAATACAATCAAAATGTGACTCTGAAGCCTGCGAACGCAGCAACAGGTTTACCTTGAGTCTCTACAGCAACAGTCCGCACAACTAGCTAATGATCAACTGACTTCAAAATACTTGCATCTGCACAAAAATGTGCAGAAGTGTAGTATGAGTACACCACGGTGGTACCCAACAAGTATCAAGACTAACCTCGGTGGAGTAGTGACGAGGAACAGTCAAGATACCTACTGGATTAAATAGCCTGAACAAAGTATAAGTATAGAAATAACAAAGTATAATATCTACATAAAGACTACGCGATAAGACTAACAATACAATAATTGCAATAGGAAAGGACAACAACAAGTTTCAGCGAAATACCATAATAATGACACAGAAGGGTCAACGTAAAGACAACCTAAATCCGAAATCACAGATACAGCAAGGACAATTAATAACTTAGCAACAACGACCTCTTTCACATCAGGTTTTAGTCAACAAACTCTACGAGGTACCGAACCTCGGACAAATCACAACTCACGGGTCTCAATACTTGAAACTTAACACTTGACATCCTATTCCCTCATTACAGCTCATAACCGCACTGACGACTCGCGTACCAAATAGAGCCATTCTCACATAGAAGGCAAGTAAACAAGGGTGTTAATCTATACTCAACAATATCAAGAAAACTACTTAACCGATAAGAGTGTTCAACTATGTGTATGCTTGTGTAAGTGTCCTAACAAAGTTTATGCCAGCTAGTAAGTACAGGAAAAAAAATGGACATCACGTAGAATGTTTTCATACAACTTTCCACAAGATAAAGCTCATACAGGTAAGTGTAAAACTACACAACATCAACAATAAGAATGCCCCCAGGCCATCACAAATCAATCCCTGACATTGCCAACCTTGTCTTGCCATGTGTGCAATAGTAAAGTGAATGCCCACTTTGTCTCGCCACATGCACAACCCACATATATATAGCCCACCTTGTCACGCTGCATGTGCAAATATCAGTAGTAACAATAGCACGATAGAAACCTCGTGCAACCCCATAACAACAACAGCACGGTAAAACCTCATGCATCACAATAACAACCGCATGACAGAAATCTCGTACATCACAACAACAAGTACCACATCAACAATGACAATAATACAACGTACGACAAGTAAATCAACTCAAAAACCTTCGATCACAAGAAATGGTCGAACTAGTTCACAAGGAATAACCATAATAAAAAATACTAGGCGTAATAAGAATAACTCAACAAGGAAGGAAACAATATGTAATACTGGTCCCACAATGTACGGTTCAACAACAAGAACTAACACGAGTCAAATATTTCTGAATAAGGGCAAGTACACTAAGACATAGGATATCTAAGTTTCTTTTAAATTTGGACTATTACGGAAGAGAAACAACCAATTCAAATAAAAGTGGGCAGTGCGAAAATCACCATAACCTCAATTAAGAGTGAACATTTACAAAAAAGGAAAAACTACAACTTCAAATAAAGATACACAGTTAGGGAAAAGATAACATGGCAATGGAAGAGATAACAATTTCAGTTAAGGCACGTATGAATCAAGTAAACAGTAAGAGTGGTTCATGAAGCAATTGATTCTAATTAAGCACGTAAAGATGAAACTAGTAATTAATGAACGTAATCATAACAAATACAACTGCATATTCAATGAATACAAGGACCTAGGAACCATAAAAGGTAAATTTCAACAAATAAGTCTGAGCACGTACTCGTCACCTCGCGTATACGGACAACAATCAACATAAAGGACTCAAATCCTAAGGGGTAGTTTCCCCACATAAGGTTAGGAAGAATACTTACCTCAAAGAAGACATACCGATACTCAAAAATAAACTTTTCGGTGTAATGGCCTCCAAACGGCTCAAATCTAACCAAAATAACTTCAAAGCACAATAAAACTCATAAGTAAATATTCCAGGTCATAAAGACTCATTCTTTATCAAAATCTAAAAATCGACCCAAAAGTTAACCCCCGGGCCCACACCTCGGAACCCAACAAATTTTACAAAACCCGAATACCCATTCCGATACGAGTTCAACCATACTAAATTTATCAAATTCCAATACCATTTCATCCCTCAAATAATGATTTTTCATTTGAAAGTGTTCTTCAAAAATCTCCATTTTTCTCAACTCAAAACACAATTTAA